GTCTCTCCTTCCCCTTCTCTCCCTGCACCTCTGTCCTTCTCCACTCCTCCCCCTCACTTGTCTTTATTTGGACAGTGGTGGGCGGGGAGAACAAATGGTCTCACTTAGTAGCCCAGGCTCATCAAGAATTCGCTGTTTTACAGGCCAGCCTCAAACTTGCCAACCTCTTGCTTCAGGTGAGTTCCGAGATTACTGGTGTGTACCCTAGACCTGCCCCGCCCACTTCTGAAGTACTCTAGTTTTTTGTAAAAAACAAGTAACCTGAATTTCCACAAATAGAAGTGTGAATTCACATCAAGGGTTTGTTAATTTTCTATACTTTCCTTTTGGGTATTTGCATGTCTGGGGACATGTGCACACCTGGAGGCTGACACTAGTGTCACCTTGATTAACTTTTTGCCTATTTTTTGACCTCATCTCTCACTGAACCACTGATTCGGCCAGAATGGCTGGTCGGCAAGTCCCAGGATTCCTCTCTGCTATCCCTCCCTAGATCCAGACTTTTCACATGGGTCTACGGATCTGAACTCAGGTCCTCATGGTTGTAAAGCAAGCATTTTACTGACTGTTTGCCTGGACACTCAAAATCCCTCTCCCTAGTCCTCTCGGGTACAGGAATTACAAACCAGCAACACTGGATTATTTTAGTCTCTTCAGTTATAAAAAGAAAACTATATATGACAGAATACATCATCAGGTCCAGTTAAAGGAGGGTGGTCTAAATATGATCAAAATATATTGTATGGAATTGGGAAAAATTCAATGCAAAGTAATAACAATAATAAAAAAATTGACTATGAATCAGATCATATTAACTACTGAGTCTACAAGCCATAGCCTCTGGCCTCCCGCCGCCAATAAACATGGGTGCTTGTCCCCACCTGTGTGCAGCATGTATTCCTCTTCGGGTTATTTCCTCCATCTCTTAAAAACACACAAACCCATTGCTTGCGTTTTGTGCTATTTGCTGGAGGCTGACTCTGCAGAGCCCTGCACAGGGTTGGGCTTGGCCTGGGGAGCCTCACCCTCTGCCTGCTCTACCGGAAGTCCAAAGGTCCCATTCCATTCCAGCTCTTCCTGGTTACCTAGGTCCCAGCAAGTCTTGACCATCCCATGGCTTCCTGCCTCAGCCACCTAGTTCCGCAAGAGGCTTCAGGGATGAGCCCAGAGAGGACGCCAGGAAGTGCTGGGTCAAGGAGAGCCTGCAGGGTCTGCACTGCTCAGGGAAGTCACCACAGAGCCCGGGTGTCTTGGAAGGGCCCAGAGACTCCCAACCTGTGCCTCGTGAAGGCAGCCATCCCTCCCCTGTAGTGGTTCTCACTTGTAGCAGGCGAGAGTGCCCAAGCACCAGGCGCAAGAGGGCGGACAGAGGGCATCCCGGGGCTGGTTAGAAGGTTCCTCTCTGGACCTCACAGATCCATTTGAAGGTGAGTGTGCAGTGCAAACTGACAGTTCAGTTACTGTTCAGAACATGGTGTGATGCAGCAGGTGGAGGGTCTGTTGTGGGGGCAGGTTGGTACAGTCTTGTCCGAATGTGAAGGTAAGTGCAGTTGATATAGGTGGATGAAGTGTGGATCTGGTGTGGTGGCACTTGCCTCTAATCCCAGCACTCTTCTACTTCATCCCATGATGTGATCTTTGCTCCCAATTTTGAGTAGTTTGTTAAAGAGACTCAGCTGTCTTTTGTAATTTTTCAATGACTACTTACTTTAATTAACTTAAAAGTTAACCACAGTATTTTAATACTTAAATAATGCTGAAAAAGTTTGAACAATACAGAAAAAAATAGAGA